TAGCTCGACCTTGAGATATGTTTCATTTCAAATATGTAAGCATTTGGCCATTATCAAATCACGTTTTGAAACAATTTTATTCAAATTTATTGAAATAAGCTTGGATTTTGAAACTATTTGAGTGTCAAAGGACTTCCACTAAATTCAGTTTCTTCTTAGCACAGTATGAGTTACTATCGATCATTATCCAAATTTATTTGAAAAAGAATTGTAATAATAGGAAGTGAGTTTTCCAAGGGAATCCTGCCCACTGTTCTCTGATACTCAATTATGGTACCAGACCCTTTGGCCACCTACCCCTTTCTCTTCCACTACACAATATGTTCACACAAACCATATCAAAATTGATTACAATATAATCTTTTAAATCAGATGTCATCAAACGAAATTTATTTTAACTATTTGATAAAAATTAAAAATGTAATCTCAATAACTGTTTCTTCCCCATTTTAGATAACCTGAACTCAAATTCACAGTAGATCCACATCAGCTCCAGAAACGCATTTTTTTAAAATCATGTGTGTTTTTTCTAATTTGAGTATCTCATACTGGTAGACTTTTCAATTGAGCTAACAAGGTGCAATGGAACCCACAGTAGGCTTACTCAGTACAACTTCAGAAATATTCATGAAAGCTTCAAAAATCTACAATGTTCCTCAGTCAGGAATGGCGGTCCTTTGCCTATAATCACAGTACTTTGGAGGCAGAGGCAGAAGGCTTGAGGCAAGCTCAAGAACAGCCTAGGCTAACGAATGAGTATCAGGTCAGTTAGCCTACATAGCAAGACCATCAAAAAATATTAGTGAATGAATTTATATTTCACAACTCTAAAACATAAAGACTAATTAAACATTAATATTATTTTCGTCTTTACCAAATATTTTCTTTTTGATAATTTTCCTTCTTTCATGTTCTGTTCCCTGCTTGGTCTTAAGATAAGATTAGGGCTAAAATTTATAATTCAAAATCCAGGTCCTATGAAAGGAAACACTCAGAGTACACAACTCCAACAGTTAGCGCCATGATCTTGGTGTATAGCATTGATCCTCTTCATTGCAGCCATTTTTCATCCTTCTACTGCCGCAAAGCTACTATTATTCTCATGTAAAAGTAAAGTTTTTCTTCTTTCATTTTATGTATATGAGTATTTACCTGAATGTATAATTCAGGTATCCAATGCCCACAGAGGCCAGATGAGAGCGCTGGTCCCTTGGAACTGGAGCTAGATGGTTATAAGCTACCATGTGTACGCTAGGAACTAAACCCCAATCACGGAAAAGAAGAGCAAATGCTTTTAACTGTTGAGCCACTTTTCCAGTCCCAGTTTTTATTAACATAAAGCCAATCTAATCATTAAAAATAAAACATCGCCATAGCTTTAGCAGAAACAGCAGATTTGAAAAGCCCTGAGAGGCCCATTCAAAAGAATTTTGTATACATATGTGGGCACTGTCAGAACTGGTTGCTATACAGTTATTTATTTTTGAATACCCCTTAACTCATTGTGGTGAGTCAGACCAATCCAAGACTTTTCTCATGGCCCTGATGAAAAGTCAAAGGGAACTTTAGCTCTTTCTTCTTGTCCAAGTGAAAAGACTGATCTAAGACAGGATCCAGCATCACGTAAGAGTCAAGTTTTCAGCTTTGGAGACACAACTCTTCCTTCTGGGCTGTGGTTATCAATCGTAAGGCAGTTGTTTCTGTGATATCCTGTGAGGTCTTTGTCAACATTGTCTGATTTAGCTCTCTGTGGGTCATGCCCATATTCAACGTATAAGATTGTATGGATGATCTTCTTCTTAATAAACTTGTTTGATACAAGTCATCAACTTACACAAGACCTCCTGGGCCCAGGTATTGCTCGTGTCTTCTTTATTCCTTGTCTTCTCTATTTCTTGTTTCCAGTCCTCCCACTGGACACCTAGCTGTCATTTTAGTCTAACTCTGGACAAATTGTCTTCAGAGATGGCATGTCATTCGTGGAAAGAATTTGCTCTATTCTATATGGCATTAGTAAATGTAGTAGATCATTAATACTCAATTTGATCAAAATAACATTGGTCAGATCAAATCAACTCCAAATATATTTGGCTATTTGTAGAGTCAACCCAGATGTTAGGATTCTGTTATACATTTGTTAACCCAGCATAGGAAAAGAGAGATTGCACATAATGTATGGGCTTGATTATAATAAGTGAATATAAATTGAGCCAGTTAGCAACTCCCCCAGTATTAATTGATGAAGCATAGATTCTAGTTGAGAAGATAAATGCCTTACTGTGCTCTATACACCCAGGATGGGAGTGTATAGGTAACTTACTTGCTTTATTCACTACAAAAAATGCAGTTTCATATCAGAGATGATTCCAAAAATACTGTTTTAATGTACAAATATTAAACAGGCTTAGCTTTTAATCTGTCAGTATTCTACTAATGAATTAAAAGCAAGGTATTTTTTTGACTATATGAACTACCCTTGCTGCTCAGAGATAAAATCTACAGTAGAGATTTGCCTTTGGTGTGTGTGTGCATGTGTGTGTGTGCTAGTGTGTGTACTAGTAGGCCTTATGCATGCTAAGCAAGCAGACTAGTACAGAAATATATTCCCAACACTGTTTGTTTGTTTATCTTTTAAATTACTGTGCTGGTTGTTATTTCGTAAACTTGAGAAGAACATATAATATCATATTCATATCTGGGAAGAGGGAATCTTAATTAAGAAAATTCCGCCAGTGGACTGGCCTGTAGGCAAGTCTATGGGATATTGTCTTGCTTAATGATTGATGTAGAAGGACCTGCTCACTGTGGGCCCTATCGTTCCTGTGAGGTTGTCTTGGGTGAAGAAGAAAGTGGGCTGATCAATCTAGATGGAACAAGCCAGGGCAACATTCCTTCATTTCTGCTTCACATTTGCCTCTAAGCTTCTGCCTGCTGTGACAACCTCTGGCTACCAGGACTTCCATGATAATGGACTGTGATGTAGAAGTGGAGGTGAAATAAACTTTTTCTTCCCCAAGTTGCTTTTGGTTATGGTATTTTATTGCAACAATATGAACCCTAAGTAAGGTAACTACTGTATTTGTGTGTATGTGTGTGTGTGTCTGTGTGTGTGTGTGTCTGTGTGTGCCTGTGTGTCTGTGTGTGTGTAGGAAATGGAATAACTTGAAGAAGTTAGTTTTTGCTTTCCACTATTTGGGTCCTAAGATTTTTCTTGATGGCAAATTACTATTACTCTCTAAGCTGTTCTGTCAGTCCCCGGAACTATTGAATTTTAACTTTTAAAAAGATCGATTTTTAATATTTAATATGTATGTATGAATATTTTCCCTTTGTACACCATGTGTGTGCTGGTGCTGGAGGCCAGAAGAAGGTGTCAGAACCCCTGAAACTGGAGTTATGGATGATTGTGAGCCATTGTGCAGATACTGGGAATTGGATGCAGATCCTGCAAGAGCAACTGATGCTTAAGCTATTGAGCCATCTCTCCACACCCTTAAGTTTTATTTTATTTTATTTTTTGAGGTGGCACTACCTAAGCAGCTAAGGTTGGCTTTATGCTTACAATTTCCCTTTCTTGACCTTCTGAGTGGCTGAGACCTCAGGCCCGTACCACCAACTAAACTGACTCTCACTCTCTCTAAGCTCAGCCTGTCATGCTTATACCTTGCATAACAATGATTATTAGTAAGTGCTACCCATGATCCCATACAGACACGCAGATATGTTCTTCAGTGGACACACAGAATAGAGGCCTTTAGATTCTTTTGCACTTTCCACTCGTGGTCTGTTCTTGGTATGGTTTCTGTTTGACCCTCTTTCTTTGAAAAGAACACCACATACTGCCCCTTGGACTTACCTTTTAATCCTTGAACTTCGGGTCTTTTTGCCTCTGTTTCCCCAGTGCTGACATGATGGGCATGTGCCACCATGCCCAGTTTTGTGCAGTACTGGAAATCAAATCCAAGGGCTTAGGCATGTTGGGTGGTTCCTAAGGTCTACCGGCTAACCTGTATCCCCAGCCCTCGGAATCTGTCTTTTTCAGAAATGTTGAAACATGAAGACACAGAGGCAGTCACTCCACCTGAGCTGCAAGTAGAACAAATTGTTGAGCCTTGTTGGGTCAGTGGCTTGCAGATGTACATAGACATATCCACAGTGACTTCCACCTTATCATTTTAAAGATTTGTTTTCAATCGTGTCTGTAGGGAGGTGTATGGGAGTACAGAAACTCACTCCTATAGGCCTGAAGCTTTGGATTTCCTGGAGCTGGAGCTAGAGGCAATTGTGAGCTCCTCTATGTGGATTCTGTGACATGCATGCAGGGCTATCTCTCTATCCCTCCCATTACTTTTCTTGATACTGGTATTTCTTTAAAATTTTAAAAATCTTTGATTTATTGTTTCTTGTTCTCCCGAGTTCTAAATAAAGATTATATCATCTTCACTAATTATTTCCTTGCTAACAAAGTTATGCCTCCAGTCACATAGTGATGATTTTTTTGTCATGGTAAGAGATTCCAAAAGCACAGAAAGAGAGCAGTCATTTCCAGTGAGGCAATGGCTAGAGGATTTGCCAAACCCACTTCTTTTCTGTTTACAGAATGGAAACAACTGTTCTTCAGAGTTCTCATCACCTATCTTTGCAGGAGAAAAGCACAGTAGAGCCCCAAGAACCTTTTGCACTGTCCTCAATTCTCTGCAAGTGTGGCACAAATGCTTTCTGCAGGGTCTTTGGCTCTTGCAATGTATTTATATTGTTTCAAATGAAATATAAAGCACTCCCCGGTCACACCTGCAGTGGGTATGATACACAGAAAGGGAAGTATAACCCTGAAGTCAGACAGCCTTCAGGGTTTTCCACAGTACCGTTGCTAAACTCCCCAGGGGAAACACTATGTGGCTTTAGCAGTCTGTACCATAATAGATGCTGATTGAGTAAAGAGAAACAAGGCAGAAGGAAGAAATCACAGAGAAGCCACTGAAGGTTCAATGGTTAGGCTTCATCCTTTATTAGGTAGTGAATAAACGACAACTGATGCTTAAAACTCCAATTTAAGAGACCATTTAAACAAAAGAGGTTCCGTCGCGAAGTGAGGCAGACGGGGTCCAGGTTTTTCTGAGTGTTCTCATATGGCTGATGAAGAAAATATGGCTGATTTGTTTGTTCCCAGCAAACCGTTAGAGTTACTAAACGCCTTGTGACCCAAGACGCCATGTGGCCCGCGGGCCCTGACTTCTTGCAGACTGGTTCCTTCACTTTGGTGAAAATGGGAGGAACAACGGAAGTACGTGATGATGGAATTGCATCGGTAGTGAGCACAGCGGCCATGTCAGGTGAAGGGCCTGAGATGCAGTGAGTTCAGTGAACAACCAAATAAGAAACTAAACCCAACACAATTAGAAGCTGCTGGTCACATAGTAACAAACTCTGGGTAACTAAGTCCACCTGGCTGAACTAGCCCCATCCGTAGGCAAAAAAGAAATAAATGACAGAAATGCTTCCTAGAACAGAAGGCCGTGCTTGAAAAGACTGTAAATGAGAAATCACTATGTTCAATGGCAGATATGTCTAAAAGATCTTTGTACCAAAGACTGATAGAATTATATTTTCATATTCTTGCTTTCCGTCTACTTTCCATGGTTTTCTTTACAATCTTTCTTTTTCTTTCCTCTTTTAAAATGTTGTTTTGGTTATTTGTTAAGTAACAGGTATATATATAGCCAACTGCTTTAAAGATACACTTATAGACAAGTTCTACAGCTAGACACTGGAAACGTCCTCAAAAGACCACAGTTAACAGTCAGCACCAAGCACGCTATGCATATTCTTTAAATATAAATGACAAGGGCTAAACACCTCTCTCTCCAGGAACTCCTTAGTTCTCTGTTCCTCTCAGAAGGTCACTACAATTAAGATAAAAGAAGTTCCAGGAAGGCCACACTCCATCCATTCCCATATTTTTAAATAGTCTTTATAAAACCTTTTCAAAAATAATTTTTTTTTTATTTTTAGTCCTAAGTCACAGAAGGCTGATGTGTACATGTTTTGTTCTTGTTCTCTTGTCAAAGGTCATTATTCTTGAATGCAGCAATCTGTCTGCATCCAGCCCCATCTTATCCACAGGGGCAAGCTAGCTTTCTATGGGAAAAAGCACACTGCCTTTATCGCAAATTAAAGGCACAGCTATTTCATGCCATTTGTTACCAGTTTAATGATAACATGTAACACTGAGTGGTTATAGAATTATCTCATATAGATTTTCTTTTTATAAGTTATTTTCTTAGTCTTTCTAACATATATACAATATACATACATTTATATATATTTATATATATATATTCCCCTGATAAATCTTGTTTTAAGCTAAAACATCAATTGCTTTCAGCTCTGTGGTGAATATAAAAACAGTTCTTATCTCACAATGCCACTAGAGAAATGATGGTCTAGGGGACTTTGCTAATATACTTTGTTGATGTCCTATCATTGGTGTGCAGTGAACTCAGATTAATTTTTTCTTGGCAGCACTGGTATTTAAAAGTATGTTAGGTGTTTATGTCATGTCAGTAGGGAAAAGATAGCAATAAACACAACCAAAGCTCACGCTTACGTCTGTCTTTACACATTTCTATTTAAAGCAAAGCCTTCTGCTATGGCTCTAGAATGACAGAAAGGGTTATTGCAGATGGCTAGTTTTCTCGGCTTTTGTGAATCTGTGCTCACGTTACAGCATCAACTGAGGTTCTGATGGCTTCTCACGTTTAGTATAAAGGTTATACTGATTTCTTACTACTTGCCCATAACACATGGGATGATAAGTTTTCTGATACACTGCCATTTCAAACACTTAGCTTTTGCCAGCAATGCCTGTTCCAAGTGAGAGTCTAGTATTTGGTGATGAAGTGTCTCTCTTATTGCCTCTCCGCCTCTAAGCTTAAAGGAGGGGGTGTTGACCATGTACGCTTTCAGGATACCATCTGATATTTGCTTTTTTGTTGTTGTTGTTGTTTTATTATTTTTTTTACTGATTATAGGTATGAAATAGCAGTTCATTCTACCTTTTTGCAATTCCTTAAAACCTAAAGGCAAAGACTGAGACACAGCACTATTGTTTGACAAGACATCTACTGTACCTACTTTTGCCTGGACACATACCCAGGAACTGCTATCATAGCCAGAGGACCAGCAAGGGCACTACTATTCACAGTGTTGCTTTTGTTTTTGTTGCTTTTTCTTTTATATATATATATATATATTATTATAATCTACAGAGTAAATTATTACATATACATTGGAACCAGTTAATGCCCTTAGACAATGTATACTTGTTTTAGAAAGCAGGAAAGACAATGCAGGGGAAATAGGTGCCCAAAAAGCACAGTCACAAAGATTTCAGAAGTTCTAGATACCACTATGAGTCAGTGCTGGAGATAACTTCTAAAACAAACAGTGTTCAAGAAGAATACTTTTAATTTGGAGAAAATGCCACGCCTTCCCTCCCCTCCCCCCAACCCCACCCTCTCACTTTTATTTTTTTTTTTTAAATAATCTTTTCATTTTACTATCAAAAGTCCTGGCTCTTCAGGTACACTGGAAACTATAAATAAACACTGCATAGTTCTCTTTTGTTTGATTTTTAGTTTCGTTTTGTTGTCTTAAAAATTATTGCAGTACAACACCTCCTGTTCGGGAATTCAGTAAGGAGCAAAGAGCACAGGAGTGTGGGTGGTCCGAATGGGTCCAGGAGCTGGCCGCAGGAGGGCTGGCGGAAGTGCAGAGGTCGGGAAGAGGGTGGCTGCTGGAGCAGTTCGAAGACTGAAGGGGGAATTCACGGCCACGGCAGCTGCAGCTGCGGCCGCTGCCAGCGGGTTCGGGAGAATTCTGGGAGCCAGTGGCTTTGAGGCTTCTTTTGAAAATACTAATTTTACCTGCAAAGGAAAGAAGCTGTTAAAGGATCAAGAACAAAAGCTTTAGAGTTTGTAGCTGAAATCCAAACTGGTAGGTAGGTCTTAGTAGTGAGCAGCTACAAAGGTAAGCACTGGGGGAAGGACAAACTAAACTGGAAAGTGCAGAACTGACCCCTTTGGAAAGGTAGAAGATAATGACCCAAGCATGCTAAAGTGTCTTCCAGAGATGGAACTCAACAATTTTTTGCATTTTGGTTGAAATTTATACCTCCACAGGAGGTCCCTCTCTTGAGGAAAAGTGCAGAAGATATTGTGCTAATTGTTATACACTCAGCAAATGTCATGCAGCAAATACTTGTTCTACAAATGACAGTAGTCACGCCACCATGCTGTCAACTCTAGAAAGAATGGCTGACGTATTGGGAGAGGACATTTTCTAGGACCTATTTCTCTCAGCATCTAAATGTCCTTCAGTGCATCATTATACAAAATCTAAACCATAACCGTGAGACAGTCTTTTTAAAATAAAACTCTGGAGGATATAAAATGCCAAACATGCTCAGACAAAATTTAAGAAACACAATTTAAGGACTTGTCTGTCTCTGACATCCTTTTTGAAAGTGTTCAATATCATCAAGACCACATTCTAAGTCATTGCCTACTTAGCTCAAAAGTTTCACTTTCTCAAGTCTCTGTGCTCAGGGACAAATCTCAGCTTAGGTAGATGAGCTAAGGATAAAGGTGGAAAACACTGAATAAACCATGTGACTCAGAGTTCCATTGGTGGAGGCCAGGCTGGACCAGAAATTCAACTGTTTCTAGTTTCCTCTGTATCGACCATCCATTCTACCTAATAGCTGACAACCTCCACCCCAAACAGCTACAAAACAGACTGTAGGGCATGAACAGCTTTGCATTCTCTTTAAGGAAGCAGCAAAAGTGTAACTCACCCCTAGTGGATTTGCTGCCTTCTGCAGTTTGTTGTAGGGACTGTATTTTGGTTTGGGGGGCTTCCCGGCAGCTCTGTCTTTGTGCCTTCTGCTGCTAATGTGCTATGGAAAGCAACAAAAAGGACAGCTTTCAAAAACACATTTAGAACACGTCCTTGAATATTATTTTTTACCTGGAGGGAGATGATGCTGCTTTCAGGCAAGTTTCACAAAGATAAAAGGAAAGGAGCATTGTACACTTCTGCGTTTGGATATCGAAGCCTTTCACACCATCATTTTAATATACTTTCAGTAAATCAAAAAATTTTCTTTTCTTCTCTGCTTTTGCCTTATCGCAGCACACATCTCCCAAAAGTATTTACAGAGGACAGGATGTCTGAAGGAATTTTATGTGCAAATAAACAAACATGCCCAGACAGGCATGAATGAATTTCCATACTACTTATCCGCATATTTGTGCAGCCAAATGCCAACACCTTAAATTCTAAAAATAAATAACTAAGGTGCAAAACATCATCCATCCACAAAACACAACACAATATGAGGAGGGCTGAACCTTCAGCTGGAAATGTACCACCACATTTTTTAGAAGGCTATTTGGAGCACAGTTAGTGCCCATTGTTAGTCATTGCATCAACAGGTGGCTGTAGGAATTAGAAATAAAGTACAATGAATAATAAAATAAAAGGACATGGGCTGGAGAGATGGCTCAGAGGTTAAGAGCACTGGCTGCTCTTCCAGAGGTCCTGAGTTCAATTCCCAGCAACCACATGGTGGCTCACAACCATCTGTAGTAAGAGATCTGGTGCCCTCTTCTGGCCTGCAAGTATAAATAAATAAATCTTTTAAAAAAATAAAAGGACATACACTAAAAGAACACAATATGAAATTATTTGTAGTATAAAATTATCTAAGTAAGCTAAAAATAGAACAGTGTACATTGGTCTTTAAAGAAAGCAAAGAATTTTCAGTGGAAAACTCAATAGAGAAAAATTCTCATACTGCTGTTTCTCCCAAAGTGCCTACACAAGAAACAGACAAATTCATTGCCAACAATTTTCAACAGGCTTTACCTATTAACCATTGCATTTAAGTATTCTCTCAACAACTAAATTAAGCAAGTGCTAAAGTAAAAACAGTGAATAAAAGACAAACAAGGGTGTGATCAGATGGATGTACTACTGATAGGTGGATGAAGAGGGAGTTGGATGGCTTAGTTAATGAGTGGGTGGAGGGATGACTGGAAGGTTAGGTAGATGAGTGGATAGATGAATGGACTGATGTAGGAGTGGAAGGGAGGTAACTTAGTTGAATGGTAGATTAATGAATGTTTATATGGATGGTTTTGTTAGTAAAAAGATGGGTAGATGGATGAGTTGTGAATTGGTGAATGGATGAGTGGCGAGGTAGATGGATGGGAAAGAAAGATGTGAGAAGAACAGTAGCATACACAGACAGCTCACAGAGTAGCCCCTTGGGCTTTCAATTTTCTGGTACCTGTTTGAGTTGTGTTTCCGAGTTGACATGCACATCACATATTTCACAGTGAAATGTTTTGTTTTGGAGGCCTGTGTTTCCCTTATTAACAGGTCCTTTGCCCTTCATTCCTGCCCGAGGAAAAGCCTTGATAGTCCCACTTCCATTGCGGGCTTCTAGCATTGTTTTGTGCTTAGTACCTACCAGGGACATTTAGGAAAAAAAAGAAAAAATATTTAAAAAGGAGAGAAAAATATTGTATTAATGATAACCTTCAAATGGAACACCAAATTTGAGGCTATACTAAAATACATCTAGGGCACAGTAGATTGTAAAAAAAAGGAATATATTTTACAAGATGGTATTAAATTATTAGCTTTTTAAAATACTTGATGTCACATATATGTACCATTCATAAGTAGAGTAATTAAATGGTAGGTCTTGGGCAAATTTCAAAGGATGTAATTTTGTCTCAGTTGCTGTTAATATGACATAAGCGATAGCTGATGATGAGGAGTGCCCTGTTTGCTGAAGGTGATGTGCACGAAATATAATCAGCTTAGGCATGGTGGTCTCACAACAGTGGCACTAATTAAATACCGACTTCTAGGCAGAATTCAAGCAAGCTTTCCTGTTTCTGTTTTAGGCTCAAAGAAGAAGACTAACAGTAATAGCAAACATGACATTAATTTTTTAAATTTTATTTTCGTCTGTAAGCCAAGTATTTAATAGCCAAGCCATTTCTCCAGACTTCTTTAAATTTTAGAATCCAGAAGACGATGTTGGATCCTCTAGAACTGGAGTTATAGACAGCTGTTATTTACTTGACGTGGGTGCTGGGAAAAGAACTGCAAGTAGTCTTAACCACTGAGTAATTTCTTAAGTTAGATGTTAAGTACCACTAATACTTGTTTTCTGGTATTACTATTGTTATATATAGTTCAAAGTGGAAATTTCCCCTCAAAAATTACTTAAAATGTTCCCCATTTTTCTAGCTAATAATTTTTTTTGTCCACTTGATGACGTGGTTTTGTTATGGAATTTTATTTTATCCTTTATGCCATTCAAATTTTTAATTTTCTTTTCTGTACCACTTCCTTTCTACTTGTATTTATAAGATCATTGATCACTTCTATGAATATAGAAAAAGTGTTTCTGAGTCACATGTACAGAACTCTTGAATATTCATAAGATGTTTCTGAGTCATGTGTACAGAACTCTTGAATATTCATGTTTCTGAATCAAATGTAAAGAACTCATGCATATTCATGAGAAAATAATGCTGTGAGCATGATACAGATGACATCATGCTAAGCAAGAGACAAATCCAGCAAAGAGCTTCATAGCCACATTTTCCTCATTCAAAAAAAAGCGTTAATTCACCAGGCCCATTTCCTAAAGCATAGGCTGCTCACATGGATGATGACTATTCTTAGTGTACAGCTGTTTAAATGCTTTTGTGCTAAGATAGACAATCAGTGTCCTGCAGGAAGAGATGGTGCACAGAGGATTAATCCACAGAGTGGGTTCACAGTGCTGCCTAGGATGCCTCGTTGCTTGTTTTAGGTGATCACTCTTGCAGTGCGGAGTATACAAATGATTCCACGTCTTCTGAAGATGGAACAGAGTAGGGGACACTAACGCCCAAGGGAGCAAGCAAGGCATATGTGGGTGTCTATCCAACAGATGATCTTACAGATATTTTAGACAAAATGGGAAACATTTATGAGGCCATTTTGGCTAAGGAAGGTGGAAGGCATGGGCCAATTCTCATACTGATTTTCATGAGTGACCTCTCATTCAGCTTAGCTTCAAATCATTTGTGACTTGGAAGTGATATTTAACATGTAGAGAGCACACACACAAAAACACATATGTTCACATTCATACGTGCAAGCACAAAAAAGAAATCTAAAAATGTAGCAAAGGTGGTATAACCAGGACCTCAACTAAGTGCTCGGCTCTCTGGCTATGATTTATCCTCAAATACAGATAAACGTTTGTACAACTTGACCTTATGTCCATAGCTGCACAATGTCAGGTATTATAAATAACTACTGTGTAGTTTTTATAAGATTTTCAAAATGAATGAGCTGTATTTTCACTAAATGTAACTAAACTTCAAGAAAACAGTATACTCTTAATTTTAAAGCATTTATATGTTTGAGAGAGAAAACGTGCATTAATAATATAAACATCATTGCTATTAAAAAGCTACCTTTATTGAATATTTAATGCATTTCAGAGGCTACGCTAAAAATCTCTCCTGTTCACTGGCACTGAGAGTTCAGTGCTATTATTGTCCCTTCTCCAGGGAGGACAAAACAGGAGCTAAAAGGTCGGATTCCATGCATGTGGTCATAAAGCAAACACCATACGAAGTCCTCGTAAACAGAAAATATATTTCTGGCTAATTTTCCAAATACCAAGGACTCATAAACCATTAGGGCACAGTTGTACACAAGGCTTTCTTCAGGACACCATTCTACACAACAGTATAGTCTTTGGAAAAGATGGTTTTCACTTCAAGTCTTTTGATGGTCTCCACCCTACGTTGTTCCCTACAGTCCTTATTGCTCCCACTTAGCATAGCTTCATGAATCCTGACATGTAGGAGGTGTGTCTCTGGCCTGTGATGCCATCTGTGTTTGCAACAACCTATGAGCATTTTGCAAAACTGAGACCTGCTTTCATGCCTCCTCAGCAGGGCACTGCAAACTCATTTCTGCTTTTGACTTCTCCCCTTCTGAGGGAAAAAAAAAACCAAAAACCAAAAAACAAACAAACAAACAAAAAAACCCTTTGGAAGTCAGGTGGACTGACACCTTTGTAAGACTGACATTGATAATGCCTCCATTTGAAGCTCCATTCCTTCTGAAAGGGGAAACCACAGCTTAAACTCATAAACCATAGGGTTTTCAGAAGCCCTTGTATGTGTTTATTATTTAGTTTGAGATATCTTGGGCAAGATAAATACTGTTCCAAAATGGGAAGAAGGGGTTTGTCTTCCTCATCATTCTCTGTCATCCTTGGGGCTTCTTTCTCTTTCTCTTCGTCCTTCTCCTTTTCTTTTTCTTGCAATTTCTTCATCTCTTCTTCCTATCCTTCTCTAACTCATCCTCTTGCAAATCCTCCCTTCTTCCTCCTACTCTTCCTTCTTCTCTGGTCCTGGGTACTGAACTCATAACCTCACACACACCAGAGAAGTTCCCCCTGCAGCTCTCTACCCCAGACCTATGACTTTCTTTCTTTGTCTGCTTTGCAAGTTGGATGTTATAGAGAAGAAAGGGGAAGGAGATGGGAAACTAAAGGCCTTATTAATAAACATTCAGTTGTAAATAATTTCTTAGAAAATCGGGGAACATCTTTTTAAAAGAAACCAAACAGTTCTACCAACTCAAATTTATCAAAATGTGAAAAATGGCTTTTATATACCAGCACTTTATTTTTTATTTGAGTTTATTTATGATTAGTGTATTTATCTTAAGGGGATCATACATGCCATGGAGCACTGTGGTGGTCAACAGACATCTTTGTGGAGTCTGTTTTTTTGTTGTTTTTTTTTTTTTTAATGTGGGGATTGAAATCAGATTGCTAGGCTGGTGTGGTGAGGCTTTTACTTTACCTAATGAGCCATCTCCCATCTTCTTTCTTATTCATATGTCAGTTTTTAAAAGATTGGAGAACTTATCTGAAGTGGTCGTGCATAAAAAGTCTTATGGAATCAAATATTCTTTTAGAAATGCAAATGGTTTTTAATGACAGCACAATGAATAATCACTTATCCAATACTAGGAATTAGAACTACTTCCTTTTTCCTTAAATAATAAGGTTGCAGTAAGCATCATAGTCATTGAATTTTCATTACAAATCTGATAGTTTCTTCATAAAAGATTTTTATAAGTGGTACTTCAAGAACAAAGAATCTGCGTATTTTTAAGTGTCTTGATCGAAATTTTGTAAGTGTTACTAAGGTAGTTCCAGAGGGAAAATTTATCCTGCTACAGTTTGTCTTGGTATAGTTTGAAATTTTCCCATTCATAAATAATCCCAATGCTTTGAATTTAATCCCCTAATACCCATTTACACTCCTGTGTTTAACACCATGTAACGACAATCTCAATGCTTCACAGAACTGCCAATAGTTATCTAGTTGCTGTCTTACTCACAAGTTCATTTATTTGGGCTGTGGATAAACATTAGTTTACGAGCTTAAAGGGATCCACACAAACAACACAGTGCCAGATGCTGTTTGAATGTGTTTGGCTAAACCCTTCATTATGCGCTGTCTCCTGTGTGTTAAAGAAGAAAAGCACAGACACCTGTACACTCAAAATGAACGCTGAGCAGCAAAAGTCCAGGTACTCTTCTTTAAGACTTTTAACTATAAAATGAGTCTTTTGTCACCCAAAGTCTCATATAGGATGTATCATCTATGTTAATTATATTATTACTTTGTCTCTGCGAAAAATGAAACAATATACTCACAAATATCACTAGAATGACATCCACGGTATCAGAGGGCCAACCAATGCCATAAGTGATTAAAATTATAGTACTTTTGATGTTCTGACAGAAGGCGCCTGCTCCAACAGATGCCACACCATCAGCCAGATCCCAAAGTAAAGCCCCCACTCTTGGACCAACAACACACCCTTACACACCAGAACCCTTACAGTATAACTCCAATAGCTCCTTCTCTCAACACCTCCCTATTCTTCCCACACCTCCAAGCCTACCAGATCTCTAGCCCTCAACTCAGGCAGAAACCTCCTGATGGACTGGAGGTAACTCCTGCCATGAGAAGTTCAGACTCCAACTTGCCTGGAGACCCTCTATGCAAATCCAACAAAGACAAACTCAGAAATTCTCACATATACCTTTAATCACCTCAAACACAGGTGCCTAAATACCACCGCAAGAAGACAATCAACAACAGTCAAGGCAATATGTCACCACCAGACCCCACCCATTCTATTACAGCAAGTACTGAATATTCCGACATAGCTAGAGCATGAGGAACCCATCTTAAATCCTACTTGGCAAAGATGATAAATGTCCTTAATGAGGAACAGAACAAGTCCCTTAAAGAAATTCAGGAAAACACAAACAAGTGTAGGGAATAAGTGAATCCCTTAATGACAGCTAAAGGTGATGTAAATGAAATAAACTGTACAAACCCTGAAAATAGAAATAGAAG